ATTAAGAAGATCCAGACAAACTGGATCAAATTATTAAGAAGATCCAGACAAACAAAGTGTTGTATTAGGAATGGTACAACCATTGGTACATTAGGAATGGTACAACCATTGGTATTATGGTGCAACCATAATACTTTATTTACTTGCCTAATTGCAAGATAGGAGAAGCTCAAACTCCCATTGCTGGTGTCATATCAGCTCCCGTACAAGCAAAGAGCAGAGGGCTTAATATTAATATATTCATATAATATAAGGAGAAAAATCTTACTTTGGAATCTGACAAGCATTTAACCTTATTGATATCTTGTAGCATTGAATTCCCTAGATTAATTATGGGTTGTGTAAAAAAGCCTTCACGTTCATCAGTTTTGAAAACTAAATGCTTAATCAGTGGTTGTCAGCATTGACACGTATGTAGAGGTGTAGCAAAACAGGGAATTAACACCTATAATCTTCATGAGAAAGGAAGAGGTCCAACAATACAAGGCTATACCACAGTCTCATCAATTTACTGGGAAAACATCTTGTTCAATCGAACTATAGGTACAGATAGGCACAGATTGTCTGCTGATCCTTTTGGTTCTTTAACCAAAGTTCAGCTGATAGATTCTTTTGATTTTTTTTATTATTATTATGGAATAGGCATGGTAATCTGGCTGKTTTTGTACTGTTTTTGTCAGATGTAGTCTCAAACTAGGACAGGAATTGGGAAGCAAAACAAATAGACTACTTAGAAACAGGAGAGACAAGTTTTTCGGCATGCAGGCACTGTGCATTCAGATCTCAAAAGCACTTTCAAAGATGGAATAAAATAAGCCTTGCTCTTCTCATAGCTGATTAAACTGAGCTGATATCTCATCCTYCAGACAGAAGTGTATTATTTCATCTACCCTGTATTTGAAGGGATGTATGACATTCAGTGAGAGTTAGCTACATCTTTATCCTTCCTTTGGAGTTATTCCAGGCATTTATTGAGTGCCTGCCCTTAGAAATGAGCAATCTCGCTGTGGGACTTGACAGCRAAAAAGCATCTGATTCATGTCTGGAAGGATCCTGACCTGACCTGGCCGTGACACGTGACATTCACAGGGCTCTTGTCCTGCCAAAAGAGCAAAAACAAGCAATTGAAAGTGGTGGAAAACTGTTGAAAATGCCCCTCAAAACCCACAGAAATCAATAAATAATTCAGGGCTGAGGGGCTCAGATCTCTGGTGGTTGAGTGACACCCGGTCAGTCTTTCACCCACCTGTATAACGAGCTAGCATTGTGCAGTTATGCTTGCTGCAGTATGGTATCAGATGAGATTAGGGTGGTTAGGAATATAAGTGTTCTGCTTTCACCTGGGGTACAGATAGAGACCTGCCCTGTATTTTACAGATTATGTTCCTTAAAGGAAGAAGATGAACGAAAGGATCAAGCTGCTAACAGCGCGAGGGGCCTTCTCCAAGTCTGAAATATTTCATGCTTGGTTGTCTCAATTTCCCTCAGCAGCTTTTTCCCAAACATGGAGAATGTAAGAAAAAATGTTAGTTAGATCTAGCTAACTATACTGATTCAATGGTTTTTCCCTATAGCATCCTGTAAGAAACCAGAAAAAAAATGTAGTTCTACACTGAACTGAAAACTAAGAGATAGAGAAGATTCTGTGTCRAGATAGATCTTCCTTGTATCTCAGTTGCAGAGATGCTCTTGTATCTGCAGCAGGCTCCATTTTGTCACATATGCATGGTGGTGGGAGTCATCATCCTGTATTGCTCTTATGACATACATCTTGTATTGCTCTGCACTCTCAGTGGCCTACTCTACTATCTGCTGCTTGCAGAAAGCTTGCCTTACATTCACATACTCTCAGAGATTTCCCTGCCTCAAGGGCTCCCTCTTCATCCTAAGGGTAAGAGCGAACATAGGCTGAAATGCACCCAGCCCCTCTGATCTGTGCATTTCCTGCATGTGCTCTTTGGGGCTTGCTCAGGTGCAGCTCAAGCTCAATCGCACTGGTTTCCAACTGAGCCTATCACTCTTTCCCCAGCCATGGTGTTAAGGAGATAAAGCAACCAGAGGGGCACAGCTGGGTGCTGCACAACCTCATACTGAACAGGGAGACCAGGTTTGCTCCGTGCTCTGCCAGCAGATACCTGGCAGTCCCTTCACTGCTTTGCAAGACCTGTTGAGACCACCTGGGAGCCCAAGGCTGTACCAAGGCAATCGAGCTCACTGAAGAGAAGTGAAAAAGAAGCAAGAAACATCTCACTGTGTTTTTTCACAGGTATAGGATCCCAGAGAAGACATCAATATCCCCCAAAGACTTTTGTTCTTCTGTTTCTCAGAAGAAAATCTTCCTTGAGATTTTTCACATGCGTGCTCAGGAAAGAAATGTGGCAGGAGGGAGCAGAGCTGAGGTGAAATTAGTTTCCACACTGCTTGGGCTCCTTGTCRTGCCTTCTGCTCTGTGGGAGAGCATTCCCACCATTCCCACAAGTCAGTGAACCAATATACCTGAGGGCACCACGTAAGCAATTTATACTCAGTTCCAATGACCAAAAGCTGCCATTACTTCTGTGAGTTTCCAGGTTTCATCATCCCCTCCTGACCCCTCACTGCTCCTCTTTTCTTTTYGAGCCTTTATGTAGAGCGTCCATCAGAAGAAACAGCATGGCCGTGATGACACCCCGACATGGCCTTTGCAGCAGGACACACTACCCAGGCCGTTCTGCTAAGGTTTATTCCAGAGCTGGGACGCAAAAYGGGCACTATTGTGGCCCTGTGGCCCTGCAGCACAGAACTGCTCTTGCTAGTCACAGGCCCTGGGCTTTGTACCAAATCTGCAAAACCTCCATAGTGGGGCTTGTCGGCTTTGCTTTTTCTGAACTTTTATCGGTCTTTACTGACAGCTGCCTGCATTATGACCAACCATTCAACTGCATTATGACCAACCATTCCATTGGCTTCAGCTTTCTTAAACTACTGGAAAGGACAAGAACAGGGCAAAGACAGGAATCACCCAGCAGGAAGTCCTCTGTCGTGGAAGAGATTTACACCCCCTGACCACACTCAGAGCTGGGAAAACTGTATGAATGGCTCCCATAGTTTCATACTGGGGATTCTGGACAGAATGACAAGGTACCCTGCACCTGAACTTACGTATACGCCTGTAGCAAGTGTCTAAGGGAGTGAGGGTTGGCTAGTGGCTGTAGCAYCTGAGCAAAACCAGCAATCCCTGGTTCTGTGCCCACTCCATCGGCAAGCTGCTTTGCAAACCCAGGCTCTTAAAAGTGTGTGGGAGTGTATGTGTGTGTGTGTTTCTGCAACATGGGAATAATAAAGCCTGTCTAACTGTAAGGATACTGTCATCATTTAGTAGCATTAGGAAAATCCTTCTGAGAATTTCAGACAGAAGGATCTGTTCACTGTAATGGTAATTCACCTCCCTTTTGAGTGTTTATGGCACAGTTCAAATTTCAGATGCTCTTGGATGGGAACTGGAGAAAAGAATGTGTATGTCCAAGGGCTCAAGTAATGCCTGATCCAGAGCATGCTGAAGTCAATGAAAACTTCTCTGTGCATTCCAGTAGACTTTGGATCAGGCTCAGAACATGCACATGCTCTATTATGACAATGGGCACAAAACATATGCAAATAACTAATGAGAAGTATTTCCATGCATAGTCAGAGTAATAGTGGGCTAAAACAGGGCATGCAATCACTCATTCTAACAATATGAAAACTGGCCCTAACATGAAATATCTAAGCCATAGGCTTGAGCATCCAGGACTTTGGAAGATGGGAAGGTGTGCTAGATCTAGACCCAGATCTGTAAGTGGCCAAGCATGACTTGGAGATGTTTGGATTTGATATTTGAATACTAGGTGTTAAATCTGAATATTGTGAATATATTGTTCCCTCCTTGCTAAATGAAAAGACTTGATTTTCTGTGCTTTGCCTGTTTGGAAAACAAAGCAATGAAATATCATGTTACTGTAATGTCTTAAAATATATGATGTGTGGAAGCCCTCCATCCCTAAAAACAAGCTGCAGCAAAAGGTACTGAGTCCAGTTGCTTTCTAGGAGTTTAATTCTGGTCAGGTCCTTGTGCTTCACGCTGCAGTCAACTGCCTTGGTCCTCTGCATCTTATCAGGGCTTTACACAAGTCTAATCGCATGAACCTACTTCCCTGCTGCTACAGCTCCCTCTGACCCTAGTCCTCGAGCATGACATCTGAGAAATGTTCAGTTTGAGGCTCTTCACCAGCCACTGTACATTAACCTTTTGTTTATATACCTTCTTTGTTTATGTACCTGCTGTTTAGCACAGAGGCACTTCAGCTCTTCCCTTGCTAAACAAAGGCAGGCGTTTTAACTGAGCAAAATGCTTTATGACTCTGAGCATGGCTACTCCGTGCACTCTTAGGCTCTTTCCTCTGCAGAGATTCGCGTTGGGTTCTTAAACATCTCTGATGCCTTGCAGGCAATCCATTAACATCAGTGTCCCCTAATTGGCTAGCCATACCATTATTTATAGAAGAGGGTTCTCTTCCTAACTCTGCAGCTACCAATCCCTTCGTTTCTTAAGTGTATAATCATCTGCATTATCAGCTGTGGAGCATTTTAGCCTGCTACATATTTTTGACTGTATAATGAGCTCTGTGTGCGTGAATGACATACAAAAAATAGATGAATATTGATGTTGCACTTACTGCAGTGTGTGAGCAGATCTGGTTAGACACGAAATGCAGACAGAAAACTGCCTCACCTCTCGAGCTAATTTTAGTCTCTCCCTGTCGTCTCTCTAGCAGCGTGTGTGTAAAATCACTCGCAATCTGACAGCGTTCCAGTAACCTGTGCCACGCACAGAGCAGGATATACTTCCTAACCATCTGCTTGCATGGCATGGGTTAACTGAGTCTGTGGGATTGTGCTTACCTAAACAAAACCACTGCAGTGAGGGGAAAAACAATGAATGGGTGGAGATGATCAGCCCATGCATTCCAGCGAGTGCAGTCCGGGCAGCAATGACAGCCTGAAGGTTGCAGCGGCAGCGGGATCTGCATTCCAAGTGCTCACATCTCACCGTCTGGAGCGATTTGACGTGGAGCTGCACTTCATTTGCTGAGCCATGGCCAGTAACCAGGCCAGCCTGCAGGACGATCAGAGCAGGCACTGCAAGTTCTTGTCCTATATGTTCTACCAGGCTGTGAGAGATCACAAGCCTGTATGGATGCTGGAAGACATGAGAACTATGGAATATTTTTACTGGGAAGAAAATGCCAGCCTAAGAACCTACTCACCTTCAGAAGCCCTTCTCTATGCCGTGGTGCATAATCACCTGCCTTATGCTCAGTATCTGCTGTCTCATTTTCCAGAGGAGGCTCTCAAGGTGCCTGGGGAACATTTCTGCTACTGCCCATCCTCTGCCCCACACTTGGCCATGGCAGTTACCTATGACAGGAGAGATATCTTGGGACTGATCATCAAAATTGCACACAAGCTCCCCAGCTTGAACTCCTACATCAACAGGACCGGCTGCTTTCATCTAGAGGACGGGAAAACTCCCCTGCATCTTGCCTGTGAACTGCTGAGGTCAGAGACGGTCCTCATCCTTCTGGGGAATGGAGCTTCTCCCAGGATAGAGGACAGTAAAGGGCTTACCCCGCTGGACGTCATCCTGGAGCAGATGTGGGACTCCAAAGTCAATGTGGCATCAAAGAAGCTCTGYCTTGACTACCTCTTGCTTTTCATGCCCAATCCACAGTTTAAGATGCGGAAAGTTCTGCAGGATCATCCAGACCACTGGACAGCTTTGCTGGGAGAAGACAAATTCAACAGCCTGGTGGGGAACACACCCGCTTCTTTATACCTGCAAGCTATGCAAACTATTCTCCAGACTCTGCCCCCCTCTCATTTTCCTAAAAGCATCCAGGAACTACCTATACCTCAGGCACTAAAGCCCTTACCATCCTATGGCAAAAAGCTACCGACAAAAAATGTGGTAAATGTTTTTCCTTGACTTTATTTGCTGGGTCTTGGATTTTCAAAGGCAACCTAGGGGAGCCGTTCTTTCATGATCCTTTGCATTTTAGTGTGATTTTAGTACTTATCCTGTTAGGCTATGCTGGAAAATCCAGTATTTTGTGACAAGATTTTAAATGTTTTTCTAACTGATTGCAGGCACGGCACTTTTAAAGGAAAAATCTTTCTTGTTCTGTTGTTTTGTTGTGCATGTGAAGGGTTAGCTGTAATTGAAACTGTGTTATGTTTGTTTTTTAGCTGTTGACTGATATCAGTGTATCCAAATTCCCAATATGATGACTGTACCCTGTGTAAAGTACCTGGATAAAAGGAACTACTTACCCAGTGGGATTTTCAAAAGATGTAACTATGGGACTGTGTTCTGYCAGGGCTAGGGTAAATACCATACTGCAGCAACAGGGCTCAAATGTCAGGTTTCCTTTCTAACAAGGAATGATCCAGTATCTTCTTGTAATAACTAAAAAGTCCATGGCTATTATTGCAGATATGCAGAGCCAGCTCTGCAGAGTGCCTGGGTTTAAGGAGTCACTTAATGGTGAGTCACAGTGTAGCTGGTGTAAGGGGACATTCTGCTAGAGGAAGACTGAGGTAAAATAGCTGCCAGAAAGCTCTGCCCCTCYTTCACCTGGCAGTGAGGGGGTTAAAGGCAATCCTGGCCCTGAAGCCTCCACAGATTTGTGCAATGGGGAGGGAACCATTTTTCCTTCTGTCCAGGAGGGGAAATGCAATGGAAGCCCCATTTTTCATAAATGAAACATCATTTATGTCATTTACCCTTGGCGTGTGCTAAAGGGGTGAATGTAACTCCTGAAGAGGTTTTGCTCACTAGCTTGATTTACCAGTGGGTCTCAGTGTCGCCTGCACCTGCTGGTTATCCCAAGCTGGGCTGCGATGTTATGCTGTGAGAAGCTGTTTTTTGCTGTCAATTTGAGTATTTTGCCTCCTGGCTCCAGACTGAGGGTCTGATCCTGGCAAATACAGGTAATTCCCATTGCCTGCCCCACGTTTGTTTGTGGCTTGCCAGGATGGGGCTCTCCTAGCTGGACTGGGTCTGTCTGAGCAGGGTCCTGTGTGAGCAAGGCACAGGTCCTGCTCCCCTGGCTCAATGCAGGCAGCAGCAGGATCGCTCCCTCCTGGCTCCCTTTAGGGGACACACTTTATTYGGGACCCAGACGTAAGTGCAGCCCTTGGCTCTGCTGAGATAGGGTAACTCATTTCTTCACAACGAGCAGCAAATTGATTGCTCATCTCTTTAAACAAATTCRGAGCACAAGGCCAAGGGGTGCCGGGTGCCACCTCTCCCGTGGGCACAGCCAGGTGCCACGTCCTCATGCAGACACTGGTCAGCCAAGCAGGACGGTCCCTTCCCACACACGGTGGGAGCTCTGCGGTGCCAGTGCTGCTCTGTGTGAMGATGCAGACTCACTCCTGCACCTTGGGAGAGGGAGAAAACACCAGCCCAGACCCTGGGAGCAGCAAGCAGGTGGTGAAAGGGTTAATCTTCCTGCAATCACACCTCCCTGGTACTGCATTGCCCTTCCACCCGACCTCCCTGTCTGCCTCCTTCCTGCCCTTAGGGACCTGTGCTTCCTTCTCCCTGCTGCCTCAGCCTCCTTGTGTGCCCGGGAGGGCATGAGCAGAGGGGAAGCACAGGCTAAGCCCGGGGCGAGGCTGCTCACAGCCTCTGCGGCACTCGGAGGCTGTCACTGCTCTGCAAGCGAGCAGAGCCCAAGGCAGATTTACATAACAGCGGCAGCTGAGCTGCTCCTCTGCGACTCTGCATGGGCTCCACAGCCGCCTCATCTCCTTGTCCCAGCAGATGGAGAGGGCTGCATGGGACGAAGCTGGTGCTTGCTRCATGTGGCTGATGGGAGGCGGGAGCGCAGGGCGACTCCTAGGAGCCGGTATCGGGCTGCTCCCCGGCGGCAATGCGGTATCTCGCAGGGCCAGAGGCGGAGGAGGCTGGCGAGGGATATTATTAGCACGGTAATTAGGGCCCAGAGTAGATATTCCAAGGAAGGAAGGAAAGCAGGAAAAAAGGGCAGGGAATTCATCAGCTGTCATTGTGCTGGCTTGTTACCATGAGGGTTTCCATGCTATAAGCAGCTACAGAAAGCATGGGATGGAGGGGAAGGCTGCTGGGATTACAGAGCAGCAGAGGTGGCCAGGGGCTCTTGGCACTTTACAGTGAGCTGGAGGCTACAGTGACCTACTGGGAGCTACATGTGGGTCTCGTGCACTTGCTGACAGTGAGAGCAGGGATCATCAGTAAGGTTAGGCTCATGTGATCGCTGCCCAGAAGAAAGCTGCTGGCTGGTTGCTGGCCAACACTCAAACCCCATGGTGTTCTCCATACAGTTTACAACAGGCAGCGAGCCACACTGGAGAAAGCCTTCCAGGTGCCTCTCACTTCTGCTTTTACTGCCTCTTTTAACGGGAGACTGAGCACTGAGTCGGCCTTGGCCACTGGGCTGCCATCTGACATGGATATGTGGTCCCACTGGGCCAGAGTTAGGGATGTCTGTGTTGTGCTGCTCCTGCTTCAGAACGTCTCTTCCCATCCCTGTGGTGACACCAATGAGGGGTGAGGCTTCCTTTTGCCACAGCCAAGGGAATCTGTTCCCTGGACCTGATTTATATCCCCTGAAGTGGCCTGCCCAGACTTAGGGATCCTGTCTGTGTTCCTGCCCGCTACAGTGACGCTATACCAGATGCAGCCAAATCTACCTCAGCCCCCTCTTGGTTGGTTTTTTTTTTTCATTCTTTTGAAACCAAATCATTAGCAAAAAAAATATTTCTAAATGTTTTCCACAGTTCCTACAATCTGACAGAGTATATTCTTGAGAAGTCCTTCCACTTGCCTGACAAATATGTTTGCGACTTTGTTAAATAAAAAGGGTGCTAGGTGCCGTGTGCTGATGTTTACATTTGGCATATAAACATTATGATTAAGTGTAGTTAGGATTTTTGTTTCTGAACATGGCGAAAAATGTAAGAGAGAGAAGGAATGGAGTATTTTGTGTTAATCCTTGGATTACAGGTTAGCTCTGCAGGTTACACTTTTTATTTCACTTTTGAAGAGCAGTATTGTCAAGATCTGACTTGTGTGTTTGTGCTACTTCAGTTTTGATGAGTAACGTCTCAGTGAGCACTGTGAGTGACCTGGGTGTGTATGCATAGATACACACGTGTGTGTGCACATGTGTGTCTGTCTGTCTGCCCTCCCTCTTCTGGCAAAACTCCTTACTGATTTACAGCACTCGTATGCAGTGATCAATGCCTTAAGAAACAACCTTTCAGTGAAATAAGTCTGTGTCCCAAGTCAGTCTGTGTCCTAAACGTCATGATGCTAACAGGTAAGGACATATCTGCTTTATAAAAAAGGCAGCAGCTCTGCTCTTGGGATGGGTGTTTTCTCCCTGAACACCAAACACAAGGGCTTCTGAGGGCCAAATCCACAATCAACCAACCAAGACTTTGTGATGGTGGCCACATTTTATTCTTGATTTTTTTAAATAAAATCTATTAAACATGTATCCTCATGTGTCTTTTTTCTTAGTGAAAGCAGACTTCTGCTTCTGGGATGCCAGCAACATTCAGCCACTCGTGACACTTCCTAATCCTATGCTTCTGTTTCTGCAGCACCATTAGCAAGAAGGACAGGCCACATTGGGGTCTCAGCTACATCTCTTTACACCTGAAGTAACGCGTTTTAAGTTAATTGCACCACTCCAGGTCTTTGCTGCACAAGAAAAACAACAACAACAACAAAAAAGAAACTTGCTMAATTTGTGCACTATTTTCTTCAAGCCTCCATAACTCTGACCTCAGCATATAAATAAAGGTGATGCTTAATCCCTGAGCATTTTTTTTACATTTTTGATATTTTGAATGTATGCATATATATACTTTCCCTCTCTCTAAAACTGATGGGCATTTCCCTATTTCCAGTTTTCTTGGCTTTTGGGGGGTTCACTGTGACAGATGCTGTTGCTCACTATGATAAAGTTCAAATGTTGCCATGCCCAAGTGCAAATGAATGAATCACTGTATGATATGACTTTCTTATAAAGCCATACTTTTGTAATTTAGGTTTGTCCCTTTTTTTTTTTTTGAAAAAAAAACCCAATTCTTCCATATAATTGTGTTTGTACGTTACTTGCTGCATGACTAAGGGTAAAAAGATTGAAACATGTACTGGGAATAAAATATATATACATACCCTGACATAAATAAAATTAGCTGTGAAAACTATTTGCTCTCATTGTATTACTGTAATAACTTGCAGTATAAACCTGTGTCTTTTATTAGCCAGTTGGTCAGATACACCTACCAGTAACAATTGCTTTTGTCTGAGCTGATTTGGATGTGTGATGATTTCATCCTGGCTGCTGAGTCACTACCTCCAAAATCATGATCGGAGGAATGTAATATACTTCTTYATTAACTCACACCGGTGGGCTGTGCTCTCAGAGGATGACCCCATGCGCGGAGGTGAACCCACGTTTCACAGGTCTGCCGCAAGATGAAGGTGAGTCAGAGGAAGGGGCTCAGCAGGGGAGGGTGATAATTGGTTTTGGAGATTTTCATCTTTAGGTTTGAGTTCAGCTCAAGACATCTTAGGACAAAATTGTTTTCAGTGAATATCAAGTGCCAGCAGGTTCCTTTCGTTCTCTGCAGTCAACATGCTCCTTTCCTTCCTAAGTCTTTTTTTTTCAATACAGACACCCTCAGGAGAGCAACCAGCCACACTCAGCCTGCTCCTTCAGGCTCAGGTGTTTCTGCAGGTCCTCGGCCAGTCACACACCTAACACCTGCTGGGACCCCTGTGGTAGCGACCCTTCCACTTCTGCAGACAGGCAGAGCCCAACTGGTGCCACAGCTGTCCACACCAACAACCCGAAACCCTTCAGCATTTCCYGTGAATGGAACCGAGGGTTTCACTCCTGTCACCAGCACCCACAGCTGCCCTTGCTGTGTGCTGAGCGCAGAGGAGGTGCAACCCAAAAGGTCTGCGTGGCAGTCTGTCCTTCAAACCGAGCTGCTGGTRTCATAGGAGAGACAGGAATTGTTTCACTGATCCCACTACAAAGGCCAAGACCATCTCCCTGCCTTCGTAGTGGGAGATTCATTCCCCTACAGGGGCTCCCTGCCATAAGTATCGCTCTCMCAGCAGCAAGGGGCAAGCAGCTCTCCAGACGTTGCCTGGACAGGCTAGACCCAGAGGGTGCTAGTGCCTCTCTGCCCCAGGACTCTTGGCTTAAGATCTGTGTATATCTAATACTGTCCTTGGTGCAATASTTATTGTTCAGACTTATGCCGTATCCTATAAGGACAAAACACCAGCAAATTCACCAAAACACTGGATAAAAAAAATTGCATGCAGGTAAGCCAGACACTGCCTGGACCTTTAGAGCCTCCCCAAGAGCTGGGCAGAGAGCAGAAGGCACCTCCTCCRCTACTGCAGCCAGGTCTGAGCTGCCATTTACATACCCGGCCTTTCTGTAGGTAATTTGCTTTTGCTACAAGCCCAAAGGTGACTTTTTCATTTGGAAATAAGGCTGGCAAAGGAGAAATAAGCTCCATGCCACATAGTACGTAATATGGATGTGAACTAAGTAGCATGGTGGCATCTTGGACACTTGCAGTGTAGGTGTGGATGTGGCAGCACTTCCTGGGGCACTATTCAAATAGTGACATGTAAAGAGCGTATTCCTCCATGCAGCAGCAATGCCCTCTGTGAACAAGCATTGCATTTTGCTGTGCGCAGCTGAGGACGCAGGCGAGTGGGTGTAGCCTTCCCAGGGATATAGCTCCTAAGGCTCCCACAGTTGTCTCTACACTTGGAAAGCTGCTCTGAGGCCAATAAGCCAGATTTCTCTGAGGGCTGCTCTAAAAGGCTTCTTGAAATGTAAAATCAATGGTAATTTTGCAGAAGCAGTCTCAGTTTTAGCTGTAATAAAATCTGCTTACATTCTGCCATGGATCTCTTGTGAGGAGGCAGAGGTTTTTATTAGTGGGAAGGCTTTTGGTGAACGTCACAACTGCTTATGGAGAAGAGGTAATGCAGCATGTTCCACTTACCTGCTCTGCCACCCACACGGTGAGACAGGCAGAGTCTCCCGCGGAGCTGAGAGGAGGAGGAACGATACCGCCAAGCTACTGGGCTATCAAAAGGAAACCTGGGAGAAAAAACAGCTGAGGAGGAGTATGACAAGATTGCTTTAAGGAAGCAACTCCAACTGAAAAGAAATATGAAGAACAGTAGGAACAGGAGACTCTAGCAGTGGGAATAAGCAGCCACACAGGGCATATTCCTCATTTCTGAGTCCATTTTTAACTTGGGCAGTGGAAGAGCTTGTTCTTTGGWGTGAAGTTAATACAGAGGATTCCTACCAATACCGAGCCAACGCTCTGCTCCCATCATGCTGTTCATTACATGCACACAACAAACACGGATTATAACACTGCCAGCTTCTGAGATAGGAGAGGAAGAGGTTGACAAGCACTAGAAAAGGAAGCAATTGCTAGAGTTGACTGGAAATTGATGTTTCTGTTCCACCAGAAATGACAATATGATAAAATAAATTTCAATTCTGAATCAGAATGAGAATTCAAAATATCAAATTTTGCATGAAATAGATTTTACAAAGAAGAGAGATACAGAAACTATCAAACAATTTCTTAAAGAATAACATAATTTTTATAATGATGTAATATTCTGCTTTTTATTTTTAATGTTCTATCGTATATGAGAGTCTCAAGGGATTCTAAATGATGAATGTTACCCGCATTTAAATATCTCAAAATTTAGTCAGAGTCGATGTTGAAATTTTCCTTACAAAGCAAAACTTCTTGAAAATAGARACTCTTTATTCAGACTTTATCAGAAAATTTGTCAAAACAGAAACAAAAAAACGTTTTTGAGTCCATCCAGCCCAGCCMTCCAATCTCCCAACACTGGCAATAGGAAAGCCTGGGCAGGGACAGCACGTGGGTCTGGCACTTTCTACAGCCCATTCCCTGCCTACTCCCTCAGTATCCAYCACCGTTGGATTGGGGTGCTAGAGGGTCCTAGTCCTTTGGTAGCTCTCTGTGCAACTGGTCTCCAAAAATTTTGCCTTATTCCTTTTGGAGCCATCTGGTACAGTCACATCCACAACATCCTCAGACAGCAGCATCCATTTTTCTATATTTAAGGTTATCTGACACTTTTTTTTTTTTTTTGCCCTAACAGTTTAGACATCCTTCTGATGTCTTTTTCTACCTGTGTACTGTCTGCTTACCTGAAAGAGCCATAGGTTTTATTGTTAGCTAACCACTCTAGTTATTGAAGATGTCAAACAAAACTGTCCAGCACTGACTCCTGCGTAAAGCCAGAGCTGTTTTTCCTCTGTACTGACCACTAACACCTCTTTGCTTGCTCTGCTGTAACCAGTTTTCAGTCCATGTAAGAAATTTTCCTCCAGAGCTTTATCAAATCTATTTCTTTAATAACCTTTGGCGTGGAACCTTTTGAAAATTCAAACACACTATGCCCACTGGACCTCTCCTTTATCTTCCATCCTTTTAAGTTASACATATCTCTGACAAAAAAATACAAGTTTGATGAAAATATATTTCCCAATAAAACCTGTTCTGACAGGACAGGCCAGAATTAAAAAGCACTGTTCATAAGAAGGACCTAGAGACTTTTATAATTTGTGCAAAATCTCTTTATAGAGGTATCTCCTCCAGCACGGAAGTGCTCTCCCATGAGAGTTGGAAGCTAGGAGCTGCTTAACGGAGCAAAGCAGTTCCATGCCCTAGCACCTCCCCAGTGCAGGATTCCTTTTCGGTAAAGACTTTGAAGTCTAGATCCAGTTCATATCCCAAACCTGAAACCTATACTGTGTAAATCTATGGTTCTGGACAAATGCAGGTCGATCTGCCTTTTCTACTTTTGTCTCTCTTCACTGATCCCATCTCAAAGCTCTCTGGAGGAAGAACAGTGTTGCATTACACGTACACGACACCCAGCATAAATAGGCCTAGTTCATACAAGAAGCACTTACTGGCTCTCCAGCAATGAAGCAATGCCACTGGAGCAGAAAATGAGCAGTTACAGGACAAAAAAATCAGTTCTTGTGCCTGGAAGGTATTAGGCASTCATACTGTGAATAGTCTTTCAAACTCTCATAGATGAGTTTACAGACCTTGGAGAGCTGTGATGCATATCCTTCCAAATATCAAACATCCCACCAATAAAGTTGATTGCTTGATTAAATTTTTTTCCCTGGGACTCCTCTCGTGGGTAAAACTCAGTGTCCTTGAAAGCTGTTGCCTTTGGCTTGTTTCTGTACCAGCAGGCAGAGCACTGCATGGTGACAGACACACAAAATTACACTCCATGTATAAACAGGGATTTAATGAAAGGAAAGCAAAAATGACAGGAAGAAAAAGCTCTACTTCAATTAAGTTTCTGCTTAAAGCTGTGTTCCCTAAGCACTGAGAAATCCATATGCCTAGTCAGGCTTTCTTGCTCAGATCTAATGAGCTCAGGAAGGTGAAAGATAGGGCAGGTACCACAAATGTGGGATCAGGGAGGCCAAGGCAGATTTCCCACAAAATTATCCAGCTTTTTTTTTTTTTTCCTCTACAGAATTAACTGTATTTTTTGCTGAATTATAGCAGTAGATTTGTGTTCTTTGGCAAACCCAAAGCCAGGTTTCACAAGGTCTCAATTTTACTCCAATACATATCATCCCTGGCAGTATAAAATATTAATTAAGATTTAAGGTGCCAAGCCAAAGCCATCTTTGCTGGTTCCTAGCCCATTTTCATGGATTTACAAAGACACTTCCATCAAGTACTGAGCCTTTGTTCTCATCACTGTCTTTGTGAGAGGATTTGGAGGATGAATACCCAAATTTAAAGCTCCAGTAACTACTGCACAGAATACATGCCATGCTAGGTGACAGTGTATGCCAGCATCACACGTGAGGAGAGATTATTTCTTTTTCTTCTCTCTTTTGCCTGCAGAGCTAGAAGACASTGCAGCCACCATAAATGGTGAGCTTTGCAAGGTTTTGGCACA